CCCCCCCTGCATTTCCTGACTTCCTTTTGTGAGTCCTTATGAGACTCTTAGTAAGAATGGGTACGCTCCAGCATACATTACATGAGGCATTTCCGCTATTGAGAAATGTATTTGTTTAACTTAAACTGCAAAACAGACCCTTTTGATGTCCATCTTCGATCGTCGTGAGTCCATTTTGCTCTGAAAATGTATCGAAATTCAGAATCTTCACCGGCAATACCCACAACAGATGATGGGAACTGTTGTGGGAATAGAGAGGTAGGGTAGTCGGGCGAGACGAACTCTTGGTTAGTTATTTTCTCGGAACAGATTTCACGCTCAGGTAGGTAGGTATCCTTACTATATCAATAAATAATATGTCTTGACGTCATTGCATCCCTTATTCGGTTTCAATGACTTGAGACGGCTAGCAGACGCAATCGTCGGTGCTTTTATCATCCCAGGCGAAGCAGTGACAGTTAACCGACCCCAGGTTCATGAGAGACCTGTTTGGCCTAGGCGGATATCGATCCGTGCTCCATGACAAGAATTGAGGCTGGAAGTTGATAAAAGCATTGTAATTGGCACTACGACTAAAGTTGGCAAAGAGGTATATAGTCCCCAGCATGCCTTGGGCAGCAAGTAAAGAGTAAGCCGGCATAAGTCGGTCATGGATGGTCCTTCTCGTCACGCTCGGGGTCGTAAGACTTCGAAACGTGGGTAGTTCGATAGCCCTGTAGGATCGACTAGCTGGATGGGCCTGGTAGACAAGTTACCGGCAAACGTGGCAAGCACGTCATAAAGCCTTCATAGCGCGGTGTGTCCTGGTCGAGACAAGGAACCCTTTTAGATATCGTTTCTTCTATTTTTTTAGGAAATGAATGCTGGTCACTACTAGGAATGCCTGTAATAATGCTCGCTCTGCAAGACATGTTGAAAGGTGAATGCTATGCTTGCTCACGTCCGAACATACCTTCACTGACTTGATCGATCTATCCCGATCTTTCGATGAACTCCTTCTCCATGCATCCGATTGGGCGGGCACTGGTAGCGATCGGTTTTGAGCATCTCCGGGAATGCTGAAGTTGAGTTACAGCTGCGAAGAGATATCACGAGCAAAGAGGCTTTCTTAGAGCACTACTTGGAAGTAGCCCCAGCTTTTACCTGTTCTTTTAGGACTAATTGAAAAGAGCTCTGGTTTTTCTATCCTTAGGAGTAACTTTGCTGCGCTACTGGCTGGTTAGGTGGAACAGCTCCCGAACGACAATCAAGGGACCCTCAGCTAAATTCAAATATTGGGTTATGTGTCGGATTGATCATGAGATTTAGCCCAGCGATTGTATCTCTCTCGCAACGGCAGAGGGTCCTGCACGCATTTGTCCATCACTGCTCGGTTGCCACAGCGCATTGTTGTCAATACTCGTCTTCTGACAAAGAGATAGTCTGGACTCTGCTCTAGTGAACAATTGGTCCCTATAGCCGGCAAACGCTATGGCGTTGCATGAAAGAGAGAACGAATACCATCCCCGATGCCCGAGATAGCGAGGCTCATCAGCCCTTGTTTCGATGACTTGACTGTGCCCCGTGTACCTAATCGAGTGTCTTTTTGTCACCCCTTACCGCTTGCCTTCACACTTTTCCGACTTTCGAATTCGACTCGGATACATACTGCAATGGCCTAAGCAGTACACCAGCAGAAAGCAGTTTTAGTAGGATTTGTCAGAAAATCGTAGCAGACTTTTCCAACGAACTGATCACTTACGAGTGTCGGATATATTTCTTGAGAATCCATGCAACATCCTTCATAACCGGGCGCTGTTCAGGGAGTGCACACCAACATGCATTCACAATTATTCGAATTTCGTGCGGTATATCAGGGGATAATGGTGGGCGGAAGGTTGGATCGGCTAGCTGTCAATGAAAGGTTCAGGACAAGATGTTCTTGAAAAACGTTGGTCGATTAGTGAAGCGACAGACCCGTCGTCGGACGGTTTTATTTGAGAATTCCTCAAAAGGTTGTTTTGCGTCGTTGAATATCTCCCACACTAGAATCCCATAAGAGTAGACATCACTTTCTCTCGTATAAATACGTGTAGCCACTACTTCTGGAGCTTGCCTACACGAGAACTTTTTTAGTTGATTAATTCCTTCTGAATTCACTCGAATCTCTTTCCTCGCCGCAGTACACCATCTGAAGGTCTCACAAGGTTGGCGAGTCATGGACGAAACTTCGGCTTCGGGCAGACCCCAATCCGTACATACCGAGAACCCACTTGCCCTCGCCTTCTTAAGGGCCGGTCATATCAAGAAAGGCTTGCAGCTCCGACTCATAGCTGAAGTTGGCTGACCGGCTCACCACGTTGAACATCTGATTGGTGATAACTATAGCGCAAAACCCATCTAGAGGGCGGAGGCAAGCGGGATCTCTATAGATTAGGAAATAAAGAACACGGTGCCCGCATGGCATAAGTACGAGTTGGAGTCCAGCACGAAGCTGTAGTTTTGTCTATAAATCGCCAACCTTGTGGGCAATCCGTTTTGTCAAATTTTCAAAAATCGAAGTCAACATAAGGAACCATACAAAGTGTCTTACCATTTAACCGGTACCCTTTCAAAACCCTGTATTTTATACTTATCTGCTTGCTTTGATAAACCAAAATCAGATATTTTAACAATATTTCGTTGATTATCAATCAAACAATTTCTGCATGCAATATCACTGAAATCAAGTGATGTTTAACAATTGGAGAGAATCAGGGCTATTGGAATCCATGGAATGGATCCGGTTCATACTGTCAGCTCCTTGCTAATTCTGAAAATGGCGTTCGTATTTCACATACCGATGCATGCAGCGCTTATTATGAAGGTAATATAAACCGAGTGATACGTCAAAGGCATAAGAACAGCGATCTGCGCAGCTGACCTGAAACGTTTTGCGATTGACCGCTAGTTTTTCACACGCACACATCGCCAGGCAAGAAACCTCATT